GTGATTTGCAAGATGAGTCGTTTGTCAACAACAGAATAAGAGTCATTCATCGTGGTCTCACAAACCCTTGAAAGCAAGGTTGTCTAGGAGACTGCAGGTCGAAGGTCACATTTACTTGTGTACCTGTTGGAAGGCCACAGGGAATAGCAATCCTTAATTGTGGGCAGGTATCTCTTCTTTTGAGTATTCGATCACTGGGACGACACTTTTATTCGCCTGAGGTTTCGAAACCCGTCGCGGATTCCTCATCAGTGACATGAGTAGAAAGCAATACCAGAAACGGGTAGCATATACAACGGAAATTGCAGTATTTATAGGACACAGTCATTACTGCACACGTAAGACAAATAACGACAATTAACAATAAGTGCCCTCTTGTGCGTTACTTTATACTGATCAGCATTCAGGCTGTAACCTGTTGAACTTGCATCGCCATAAGCTTGCATGTCATGGCAGACTTCTCAAGATGCGAATTGCCGAACACACGACAGCAGTGCGACTAAACGATGCCAATTCTTAAGTTGCGGCTTATTCGACGATACTCGACTACACATTCCAACTTGACGAGGCCGAAATTCTCGCAAGAGGTGATAATTGTGTGAGCCGATAATTATTTGAGTCATGTTTCACGGGCTCCCAGTCCATAAACAAGTGCAACGAATTGGTCAATCCATATTCGGTGCTGAGGCTTAATTTTTCCAAGGCAAGTCGCCATTTGGGGAACGCACAGGCCACCGCGAAGTCTTACGCCAACACCGGGGAAATATATGACCGAGCAATCATCACGCTCAATTCCACCACGCGTGATGCAAGTTCAGCAGGTCACGGCTCGCATGCCGATCAGCAAGCAATTAAGGCACAAGAGGGCAATTATCGTTAATTTTCGTTATCATAAGGGCGCAATAATGACTCTGTAACATAAACACTGCAACTCCCTGTGCATGTGTTGTCCATTTCTGCTGCTACTGCTTTCTGCTCTTGTCTCTGATGAAAAATCCGCGACGGATGTCAAAACGTCAGGCGAAAAAGTGTTGTCCCATCGATCGAATCCTATTTTTCTCAATTACTTCCTGAGACTCGCATGTTCGCTTGCGTTAGCAATCCCTTCTATTGCTCTCCGTATGAACCACTAGGGCCGGTAGTGCCTATAGTTATTCCTTTTAAAATTATGGCTAATAATGTAGAAGACAAACAAACCTGTGTTGGTTTTCCAGAAGGCCTCGTTAAATCAACAAAAGTGCAAAGGTAGATTACAAGTTGACCGATAAGTAGGCGAAATACTCCAGCAAAGTCTCTGATTAGTTCATGTACGAAAAAATTAGTACCTTTTATAGGTTCTCCAATAAGCTGG